GCCAGAATGCTGGCACTGAGGAAGGTACATCTGAGTTTGCCTTACTCACTTTTTTTTTTCCTCCTCTTGTTTTAGTATATTCACATGTTCCTCAATGAAGTCACTATTATAGTTGAAGTGCTGAATGAAGCCAAACATTCCTTTGCACTGTACACACCTGAGAGGACAAAGCAGCGATGGCCCATCCGCCTGGCAGCCACAACAGAGCAAGAAATGCACGACTGGGTAATTCTGTCAGTTTTTCATTTCAAGCTGGCAAGATCTGAAATAAAATATAAAAGCTGCCGCCTGAAATCTCGGCACTACATTTACAGTATGTAGGAATTCAGGTGTTTTAAAGTCTGTTCAGTCTTATTTAGAGGTACCTAAGGCTTTCTATGTCCTCTGGAGTTTGCATGCTTTCTAATGCTGCAGTTATCCACAGTAAAGCCAATATTGCCTTTCCTTCCCCACCTATCTCCTGATATGAATTAGGCTACAAATGAGATCGTTTAATTCAGTTAGTCTGTTCTTCTGTATTGGTAGAAGAACTGTTACCTGTTTTCACCACTGTAGAGTCTTACCTAGAGGCAGGTAGGCATGCATACACTGAAGCAATGGAAAACCTGGGAGATACTTCATAATGCTAAGATACCACCGTGATTGTGTTCAGAATTCCTACACCACTGAATTCTAGTGCTGTGGGAAAAAAACTGCTGATTTGCAAGAACCTGCAAAGGCAAAACTTTGGTTTGTAATACTGAAGCATCTATGGAAATTTTTGTTCTCGCTGTAGACGAAAGCCTTTGGTTCTCTGCTTCTTGTTTTGTAGCTGTCTTTGCTGAACATGTCCTGTTGTGAGAGCAGACGGATTCAAGGCCCTCCCTCTCACCATGCCATTTGGTCAGTTACTTGTAAAGGAGACATCTTTGTTAGTGAGCCGAGTCCCGAGCTGGAGGCTGGACCACAGCTGATGCCGTGTGACCAGATGTAAGAGGTTTCAGAAGCTGTTCTTTCTGCATGGGGTGCCATCCAGCAGGCTGTCTGTCATGTCAAGGCAGCGGCTCTGATGGGCTGTTGGAGTGTGTCCATCAGTGACAGGGTTAATGGCTGCCTTCATACTCCTGGCACATCTGAAGAAATTCACCCAGTCTCATTTTAATTCTTAGATGCTGGAGCTATTCATGTGATTTCAAAAGCCTTTCTCGTTGAGATCCCATTTTTTGTGATTGTATCTTTAATGCCATAAGTATTTAAAAGAAGAGAAGGCCTAGACTAAAAGTTAACCTAATCACTGGAATTGTAATGTAATTTGAGCTGACCTAGATGATCTCCTGCCATTCTGACAATATACTAAAATACTCCTGCAGTCTCTTTATTTTCCCCATTCTTCCCCAGAAAAGTACCATGGCCAACTGTCTGTGTAAAGCCCCAGAAAAGGGTTAACCTGCCAAGATAGGAGAATACGGAGAATTAACACCCTTGGTTTTACCTAGCTCCGCAGCAAATACAGAAACCATTTGTTTTATTGTTAGATAAAAGCAATTCCTAGATTTTTAAAAAAAGAGGATGAAATTAAAGCTAAGACATAAAGATTATAGCAGGATCATCCTAACTAGTGTTTAAAAAAGAGATACAAGCCACAAGCCACAAAATAAAACTAAAATACTTCAAAACTTAAAAATTACAAGTGGAGGCAGACAGGTTCCTTCCAGTGACTTTTCAGTCGTCGTTCAGAGGGAAATGCTTTCATCTGGCAACAGCCTTCACTTAGAGATTGCACAGAGGCTGAAGAAACGAGCGTATCAAGTTGCCTGTCCTTAAGATTGTTGAGTTGTAGGAGGGGAAAGTGTACATTCCCGATGGATGTGGTGTGGAGTAAATGTAAAACGTGCTCTTTCTGGCAGGTTTTGGCGTCAGGTTGGAGGTCATCTTCGACTGATCGAGTGCAATAACAAAGGCATAGTGTGGGGCATCGGGTACGATCACACAGCCTGGGTTTATACTGGCGGATACGGAGGTGGCTTCATTCAAGGTACGGACGATTGGTCTGCTGTAGTGTGCACAACTCTGACTCCTCTTCCTGACTGGGTCAGCTGTTCAGGCCATGTCAGCTGTCCTTCCTGTAGCCTGACTAACGCGTAGGGTTATGCAGTGAGCAGGCCACGCCTTAGGAAGGAATTGGTATTGCAGTTTTATATTTATATGTTAAGTTTAAGAGTGAGAAATAGGACAATCACCAATATTACTGTGCCTATTGGAATTTATAAGGTTTAGCTTTACTATAATCCAGATGATTTATTTCTCACAGGACTGGCCAGTAGTGCTGATAACATTTACACACAGTCAGATGTGAAATGTGTTTACATCTATGAAAACCAACGGTGGAACCCAGTGACTGGATACAGCAGCAGGTTATTTACTCATTTATTGTATTTATTTACTGTCATTTTTTACTACTGTCAAATGAAACAAGGGGTTTGTTCTAGCTCTTCAGAATAGTTATTAGTTATTCCATCCTCAGTGTCTTCCAACTTTGATTGTTAGCCTGAGATGAAGGAGCCTGAGGAAGGAGCAGTGTTTCTCGATAGGTAATTACCCATTCAAAATGCATTTGTCACAAACCATGACAGGTTTGTGCTTTGGGAGTGCACAAAGGGTGCCTGCTTGCAACCTCTGTCGTTAGTAAGGCCATACAGCAAAGTCCTTATTAGGTTCTATAGCTCCACACATCCAGTGTGCTAAATACAATGGGTCCTTGAATAGTGTGTTTGAACAGAAGTATTGAAAGGGCATTCACATATATGGGTGTCTGTGCCGGAGAAACTTGGGATTCACCTGCCAATTTTAAACAGAAGTGAGGAATATCACTCTACAGAGAAAAGTTTACGTGGTCCTCAGGTTTGGTGTAACTGGAAGCAATTGTACAGATTCTTCCCCAGTATTCTCCCACCATATTTCTAAAAACAGAGATTAATGCCAGGAGACTGATTCATGTATGAAAGTGGAAAGTGCTACAATCGGCTTTTCTTCCCTCTCCTTCTCAATTCTGTGTTGTGAGTGACCCTGCACTCCTTGTACGCTGTTTCACCGCAGAGGCCTGCCCACAGACAGATACATGTGGAGCGACGCATCTGGCCTGCAGGAATGTACAAAAATGAATACCAAGCCTCCTTCCCCGCAGTGGTCTTGGGTAAATTTTGTCTTTTTACTAAGAAGGCAAGGCGTAGCAAGTAGGATACAAGTCTTGGGCTCAACTGACACAGATTTGTTGTAGTATTTAACCTCAGTTTCCCCATTTATACAATAGCAATAGTCTTCCATAGTCAAAAGAATGTTAAGCATTGAGTGGGATTTTTTTTGTTTAGTGGGACTTGGACTTCTGTTCTGATCCTTTTTCCTTCAGCTGAATTAAAAAGACCTGGGAACCTCTGCATGAATTTAGATTGCAAGTATTACAAGGTTTTGAGCAAGTCACTGTACTCCAAAAGGAGGAGGGAAACAGTGGAGGAGGTTATTTTTGTTATACATTAGGTGCTGACTGTGCTCGTTACTCTTATTGTCTCCTTCTGACAACAGGTATCCGATTGGTACATTGATTTCAGTACTTCCGGCGGAACTGATCGGGAAGGCTGGCAGTACGCCGCAGACTTTCCAGCGTAAGGAGACACCTTCTCCCTAAAGCGCTAGCAGGCAAATGCCGTACTTGGCTGCTCGTTGCTCCTCCTTTGCACGGTACCTGTGCTTTAACAGGGACACGTGTGCCTTGATTTCTCCCTTTTCATGGGGACGCTGACAGTGAAATTTGCCAGGGAGGCAGGGCAGGAAGGCGGGCTTAGCAAGCCGCAGGTTCGGGTTTTTTAAAGTCAGCGGGTGTGGGTGGTGGGACGATACACAGACTGCGCTCGGGCTGGCACTGACGCTGGAGATGCCCTGACATCCTCATGAACACCTCCTTAAATCTGTTTCGGTAGGTCCTACCATGGTCACAAGACAATGAAAGACTTTGTCCGACGGAGGCGCTGGGCAAGGTGAGGAACCAAGACACAAATAGAAGCTTTGAACTTGACGGCTAGTAACTGTTCCCTTAAAGTCTCCTTTAGTTAGGAGGGTGAAGAGTCGCAGCACCCAGTCAACACAAGCGGTAGTAAAGAACCTGCAGTAAATCTCCAGCAGAGAAGCTGATGATCCTTAGCACTGTGGCCTTAATGTAAGCCTTTAGAGGTAAATTCCCTGTTTGCTCTTGTGGGCTCTATAGATAAAAGTCAGCTGGTTATTCTCTGCCTCTGATTTTCCGTATGGTAAACAATTAAGGAATAGGAGAGTCTAGGTATATTAGTACATACCAGGTCACTTGTAACAACTGGAATACGCCTTTCATATTAATGGTTTTAACATAGGAATTCCACATACTGTGTACTAGGTCACGGATAATCCCAAACCCATTTAAGCCACAGTACGCTGTGTTCAGGGGGAACCTGGAAAATAGCAAACTGCCACTATATTCTGTTCTGCTAAGCAGGGAAAGTCTGTGCATTCACTCTTTCTCCAGCTTTTCTATGCTTTCTGTACTGGACTATCTAATAGCTATGCTACTGCGTATCTGTGAACTTACAGTTCTGCACTGTTCTGTTTGATACTGAGGCTACAAAGCTGCTGTACAAAAATCTTTGAAGTAAGGTCCTGAAGCATCAAACTGTTGTTGTTCCAGGATGTGCAACAAAACAAACAACATCCAATCAATCAAAATGATGACTTGAAAGAAAATAAGCAACTTGAGAAACACCCCCAAGCCTAAACATTTCCTCTTGTTTTAACTATCAATCGAAAATTGAAAACATAGGGAACAGCTCAGGGCTGAATCCAGTTTTTCAGAACTGGGGAAGAGAGGAATGTCCTGAGACAGAAATGATTGCTGGGGGGATAGAATTGAATATCATTTCCCTAACAGCCAACACTACTTTGTTGCGGTTGCCACAAACAGAATACACCAGTGCCCACAATGACCTGCCTCCAGCTCTTCACCTTACAGCTGCCTTGTCTCCTACACACATTTTTAGCAGGCCCTGCCAAAAAAATTATTATAAAACGATTCCCTTAACCAGGACAGAGGAAGGAAGGCACCGGGTGTGGAGTTCTCTCTGCAGTGGGATTCTCAGCTGGGGGCAAATCCTCTTTATCCAGCAGGTGCCCAGTGAGTTTGAGAGAGCTAGGGAGTGGTGTAGCACAAGCTGCAGGCTACTGGGGTGGCCTTGGTTTTATAAAGTAACTTTTTTTTAAAAACAGAAGCTTTGAGAAATCAGTAATATGTCAAAATTCAAAACCTGATGCAAAACACTATTGATTATTGTAAACCCCTTTCAAATTAAAAATAATAACACTTATTGTACCTACTTAATGAAAAAGCTTCAGAATTGTTTGCACTGAAGTCATGAACAGACTGGGAAACAAAGGCATTTACAGAAAGTGCATACTTCTGACGAGTTCGGGGTTTTTTTGCTTCAGAAAATGTAAAATAGTCACCAACGGGCCATGGCTGGAAGTACCTCCTGTGACCCTGTGGGACGTCTCCATAATCCCCAGTTCAGATGCAGATGATGAAGAAGCAGTAGCTCTGTGGGCAATCAGTGACAAAGGAGACGTGCTCTGCAGGCTTGGAGTGACACAGCAAAACCCAGCTGTAAGGCTCCCTGTTTATTTTTACTGCCTTATTGATGTGCTTAATGTAATTATGCAGGTACATACACACAGTCATCCAGTGACATCTCTCAAAGCACCTTGTCATTTTTTCCCTTTTTTGTCCTGGATTTGAAAGCCCTTGTCCATCAACTCTAACACAGTTTGCTGCCCACGTTTCTTACAGTAGCGCTTCTCTTGCACAATCTGCCTTGGCTTGTGCCACGTCACTTGTAGGAGCCTCTCTCAGCCCTGAATACCTTCTCGTGAAGCATTTCACTTCCAGTTTCTCCACTCTGATGGCTTAGTTGCTCTCTTTTTTTTTTTTTCTTTTAATTGTTGATAATCATGTCATAGAATACCAGGTTGGAAGGGACCTCAAGGATCATCTGGTCCAACCTTTCTCAGCAAAAGCACTGCCTAGACAAGATGGCCCACCACCCACCACTTCCCTGGGGAGATTATTCCAATGGCTGATTGTTCTCATTGTGAAAAAGAAATTTTCCTCTCGTGTCCAATCAGAATCTCCCCAGGAGTAACTTGTACCCATTACCCCTCCTCTTTTCCATGTGACTCCTTGTAAAAAGGGAGTCCCCATCTTTGTAGTCACCCTTTAAATACTGGAAGATAGTGCTGAGGTCTTCCCTAAGCCTTTTCTCAAGGCTGAACGAAGCCAGTTCTCAGCCTTTCCTCACATGGCAGGCTTCCCAGTTCTTCAGTCGTCTTTGTGGCCCTTCTCTGAACCCTCTCCACATCTGGTTTTGTATAGCGGGGACCAGAACAGAGCACAGCACTCCAGGTGTGGCCTGGCGAGTAGAGTGGGATGATGACGTTCTCTCTGCCGGTGCTGTCCCCGTTGAGGCAGCCCAGCATGCTGTTGGCTCTCTCTGCCGCAATGCGTCTATCCCATTTAAATGAGGGGTAGAATTGCTCTGAAGCATGATCCCATCTAAGGCCTGTTCAGATCAGGAATTTGCCCATTGACTGTTCTGGGCCTGGAACTGATTCTGCTTGGTTTAGACTGGTGGGCCTGGACTAACCTGCAGATCAGACGTTTTTATGGACTGGGACAGAAATAGTGAGCAATGTCCAGTAAAGTCTGCAGAAAGCAACATACAGTCCCAGTAACTTCAATAGGAATACTTATTTCCTACTAATGGACACATGCTGAAACACCACATAGGGTGGCTGTGCACTGATTTAAAGCCATATTTGCAACAGGAAAAAAGTCTAATAGTAAACTTCAGTGCAATTTGGAGAAAAACTGCAAGAAGTTGAAAACTGATAGGATTTTTTTTTCTTCCTTTTCAATCAGTGACAACAGCACAGATCTGTAAGGCAGTGCAACAGCAAGAACTGGAATACTGTGTCTGGAATCTGAAGCCCCATATCAGATTTTTGTGAGACTGTTGTTCTGTGTGATCAAAACCAAGGGATTATGTAAAAAAAGGGCTCTATCCCTGCTATTCAGAGATGAGTAGGTGCCTAAATTCCAGTGATTGCAACAGAAGAGGCCCTGTTACAGTCCAACATAGCTGTTTTCAGAGTTATATATCCAATATCTTTGAGGATCAGGGACCTTGTTTCTGTTCAGTTGTGAAGTTATGTTAAGAATTATTCTTCAGAATCTTTTTTACTGTGTAGGGTTTTTTCTGTTTGGTAATAATGATATTTTGTCATGGAGTTTTTAACAGTTGCCTCACAATTTAACAATCATCTTCCATGATTTGTTAGGGAACATCCTGGCTGCACGTGGGAACAGATCAACCTTTCATTTCCATATCAATTGGAGCATTTTACCAAGTGTGGGCTATTGCTAGAGATGGTTCTGCCTTCTATCGGGGTTCAGTGTCTCCAAGAATACCTGCAGGTAAGCACTTGTGCTTTTTTAGTGCTTCATCTTACACGTTGTGTAAGCTCGACTGCACTGCCATGTCTGAGTAAGGCCAATCTGTTTAGCAGAGGCCTTTCCCATTGCTGTGCAAGAGTGCACATGAAGAACACTCACGATTACAGCAGTTAGTTTGCTCTTCACTTCTGTGATGTAAATTGTTTCTAAAAACAAACTGGTAAAAATGTATTGTTTAATGTCATTGACAGCTTTCTTGCATAGCTATCTTTTTCAACTGCAGACACGTCCAAGACTTCTCATACATAATTCTGTTTTCTCAATGTTTTACTTGAGTATTTCTGACTTTTAGGTGACTGTTGGTACCACATTCCTTCACCTCAAAAACAAAAGCTAAAACAAGTCTCAGTGGGACGAACATCCGTGTTTGTGTTGGATAAAAATGGTAAGGATTTTTAAAAAATCATTATCAATGTTACAAAAGTAAATTGGTACACACCAGATGGATTTAAAAAGGGGAGGCTAAGTCAGAGCTTCTGCAGACAGATTACTGTTGCTCCAGGAGCAGTAATATTTCATATTCGAAGAGATGGAGCAGGCAGCCCGCTTAATTATTGGTTTTGAAGACTTTGTTTCTGTTGTATCTCGTAGTGCCCTAGAGAGCCACAGCCCAGCATCTACGCTATTACGCTGGGGTGGGGGGAAGAGGTAGATCAATCTCAAATAAGAGAATTGCATGGAAGGATTTGTCTGAAACTCTAGAACAGGCAAAACTGAAGAATGCCTGTTGCACATCACTGCAAGTTAAATAAGGAAGCATCCTCTTGTAGAAGAAACGAGTCTCTAAAACCAGTCTCCTTTAGGCATCTTAATCTCATTTGGTTTACTTCTCCAGTGCACAGTTCGTTAGATGAACATTTTTCCCCAAGAAATTTTACAAAACAAAGTATTTGGTGGTTTCCAGAAAAGTTGTAAAGAGTAACTATAGAAGTACAAACTCTAAAGTAGGAACTTCGTTGTCCTTCACTGTAACACATTAGTTAAAACCATAATGCGTTTCCACAGAGCGCAGAAAGTATTAACTACCGATGCAGTAACTACTGATGTGCCATGTCGTTTACTAGCACTTAGACAAAGCTGACATCCTGAGCTGTGACCAGGACTGTTGATCTTACAGGCAATCTTTGGTACCGGCAAGGTATCACACCAAGCTACCCTCAAGGATCTACTTGGGATCATGTTTCAAATAACATCCGTAAGATGTCTGTAGGGCCCCTGGACCAGGTGTGTATTAAGCCTCCTTGTATCTCGGTAGTTTATTTAAAATTGTACTTAACGTACTTGTGTAATTAGATGTTCTTCCGGATTATTTTTGCTTAACTAACTTTATTCCCCAAGCTGACTGTCTAAATGCTGGAGGCCTGATAGCAAGACAAAACCCATGCCAATGAAACAGTGATACAGCCCGCCCTGTCCTCTAAAAAGCCTTGTTAATTTTTTTTTTAACAAGACCATTTTATATATTTTAGCTCTTTCCTGCCAAGCCATACTGTCTGGCAATGTTTTAATTACAACACTGGTATCTGGTAGTTCGTGTGGGTGTCTGCCTGACTAAATTAGAGCAGTTTTGGCCTGATCAAGACTGATTTCTGAAATTGGTCAGACTCAGAGGTGTCACGTCTGGGAAGAGCAGCATGAAGAGCACATTTTACTGTCTCTCTTTTCTTTCTTGAGGTCTGGGTGATAGCTGACAAAGTGCAAGGAAGTCACAGTTTGAGCTGTGGGACTGTCTGCCATCGGACTGGTGTTCAGCCAATGGAACCTAAAGGCCTCTCATGGGATTATGGTATTGGGGTAAGTGCTGGGGGCATAGTACAGCCTAAAATTTTTATATCCAAATAGCCATGGACACGCTTGGAAAGGAAAGTGCCATCCTGCTCCAGCTGGCAAGCTCTCTAAAGCTTGCATATACCTGCAGGAAACTGACCCTTGTTCTTAGTTTTAGGTTCCTTTTTTAAGTTAATATAATGGGTTATGCAATTACAGCTGGGAAATAATTTCTTTGCATTTGATAAGCATTTGTTTTAAATTACTTATTAAAAAATTATGATGGAAAAATTAGTAAAGTAAGTACAATTTTTAAAAAACAGATTCCTTCCGAGTGTGCGCATGATTGTTCCTCGTTGTTGCCTGTATTACCCTCAGTGTTTGAGAAAGGCTGTTTCATGGTTCAGGCACCTTTTAAGTTGGTGGGAAACCTGCAGTGGCTCTGGTGTGAACATCTCACCCTGCTAATCTCAATTCCCTCTAATAAAAATAATCCTCAAGCTTACTACCTATACGCCTCCCTCTCAGGGAGGGATGTTTGTTCTGGTTTGGTTCACAAGGAGACTTTCTTTATTACTCAGCCCAGGGCGGGATTACTTTCCTCACGAATAAACAGTATAAAACTAGTCGTGTTCATAAAGCACCACATCAGATACTGTAATTGCTGGGCGATGTTTCTGCTTTTATAGTTCTTTATCAATCTTTTACAGGGTGGATGGGAGCATGTTACAGTCAGAGGAAATGCAACGGTAGCATCCAGGTCCACTACGCAAGACGCTTCTGAGGAAAACCCTGCAGTACCAAGGGATTTAGCAGATGGGAGCGAAGGGAAAACGGAGCACACTAAAACCCCTCTGATGGTCAGTGAAAGTCAAGAATTGGACAGAAATGCTGTTAATTGTTAAGTTGTCGCCACCTACATGTTGCAAACAAGCCGCAGTCGGTATAATTTAAAAAAAAAAAATAGCTGTCTATTGCCTGGAGAGAAAACCATGACCTTTTTGTGCTGCTAATATATTTTACTGAACCAGAATTTGCAATGAGGTATTTTAAATACTGATTTCTTCTACTACGTCACGTGTAGAATGTGACTCGATAGACTTAACAGTTTTGTCAAAGCAGGCAGGCATTGTAGCCACAATGTATTTCCGACCCTTTACCACAGCTGCTACACAACCATAGCAGTGTGAGTACCTTTGCAGACGATTACCACATTTACTATTTTTACATGACGGTTCCCTTCCCTATGTTTCTGTCATACCCATACGCTCTTCTCTGCATTCATACTGGAGCAGAGATGAAGATGTCATATGAATTTAAATGAACTACAGGCAGTTCCAGTGATTTTCACTGCAAACACAATTGGTCCTGATAGTACAAGCACTTACACATGCACGTAACTTTGCTCACGGGAGTCCCGCGTATACAAGCATGCACTGCGCTCGTGCTATTCTTGCTCCCATCAGTAAAATGAAATCCTGTACCACTCAGCTTAGGGTGCAGTCACTAGTAAGGGCCAGTTTTTGCTACCTTGGCTCACACTAACACCTTAATCTACAAGTGGAACCACTGGTTTCAGCAAGACTGTGTAGACAGCACGGTCCTAGTCGAACTGACTAGAAACGACCAAGTCTCATTCAGTCCAAATGGTGGTAAATCACGGTTTGTCTCCATCTGAGCCGGAAGGAGTTAGGCCGTGTTCCAGATCACTGCAAATTATGCTTTCAGAGTGCGAAAGACAAGAGGAGGTCATACATTTCTTCTGACCTCACAATGGTGGCAGTGCGAAACAACAGCAATCAGAGGAGTTTGCCAGCGTATGCCATCGTGGGTTCAGGATGCAGCTCTGTTCTTTGTTTTGAGTGATTCATCCCTTCTTCCACATGAAACCTCTTTTTATTCGCAAAAGAAATCTTTTTCCTGTCTTTCTTACCATAATTTGACTGTGATGTGAAATTATTATTTGAAAACCAGTCCTTGGGAAGTGCTGAAAAAGCCCTCTCTCCCAGTAGCTTCAGGAAGGCACGTTGGTTTTCCCCTGGCAGCAGTTTACAATCATGTTTCCTCTCTGCGTGACTGTGTACGAAGTTATTTTTCTATGATGAGCAGCGTGATGTGGTCTCAGTACTGTATTTGTAGAAGTAAAATGTTTGCACGTATTTGAAGAATATATTTGGTATTTTAATGCCAAGGAGAGCACTGTTTCCAAGTCCAAATGTGAATGAAGATTAAAGATGCTTCACTGTCTAAAAAAAAAACCCCAATCTGTTGATCTTTCCAGTATGTGATTATAGATTTCTGGTTTATACATACATTGTGGAAGTACTACAAGTAAGATGTTTGCATTAATTACTGTAATAGGTTTTGTGTAACTTGCACAGTATCTTGTCCAAATAAATAACTCACATGTATTTTTAGAGTTATTAGGATTGTATTTTCTCCGCATCCTATCAAAAATATTTTTTCTTTTAATAGTGTTTACATACCCAACAATCAAGGTGGTTTCATATAATAAGCTTTATAATATACCTTTGCATTTTTCCCTGCACTGCCAAGTTTCACTTACTGTAAAATGCTGGGTTTAGTTGAACAAAAGATAAATTATAAGTTGTTTGAATAATAAATATTTGCCTTCTGAAACTATTATTTAGAAAATTATTTAATTTTAAAATTTAATGTCATTGTTACGGCTAGCTAAAATAAGGGAAAGCGACTTTAAATCAAAACCATTTTGAAAAATAAAAGTAATTTATCAGAAAAACCTGCTTCTTGAGACATCTTTTTTGACACGTTCCGGAAAGCAGCACTTGGCCGGGTGCCGCTGCGGCACTGCCAGCTGTCGTTCCATTGACACACAGGTGTCCTGGGCGTGGGGGTTCACGGGGGGGCTGTGCCCAGGGAAGGGGCAACCTTCCCGTGTCTGCTCCGCTGCCGGAGGCGCAGCTGGGCGCTACACGCCCCTCTGCGCTCCCGGCCTGGAACACTCGCCCTGCGGGAGCCCTGTCCCACCCGCTGCCGCGCACGGTTAAACGCCGTGCTTGTAACCGCAGCATCCGTGCAGTCGGTTCTGAAAGCCATGTGCGGCTCCTCATCAGTGGCACTATTAAAATACCCGTTTTCCCACCCCCTGGTTTCCTTCCTCTGCCGAAGGAACCACACAGCGACGCACACACGGCTGTCCCACAGCCCCTTCGGGGACAACACCTGGAAACTCGCATCTCCCTGAGACCGCACTCGCGTAGCCAACTGACGAGAC